TGATGTAAATATGATTTGAACCAATGAGAATGGAGGAGTTAAAGACGTCAAGGTGAAGATTTTACTGCAGTGACACAACGTTACCTTTTTAATGTTTGCGATATGAGCCTCAGTCTGGATTCAATATGGCCGACGCATGAATAAGGTCTATTATTGGTCATATCTGATATTAAATACATAATAGAAATAAAAAAAACATCAAAATAAAAACTGACCATCTTTCTTGAGTGGTGATTCAAACTTCATATTTAATAAAATATCAACGGCCCATTCTACTTGATCTATACTATCTTCTATAGGAAACTGATTAATATACAACCACTGAGAGAACTCTAGTAGGTAATCTATCTTTAACCAGTTAGATTCTACACTCTGAAATATATATTATACATTGTACTACAAACATCATATTAACATACAACCACTGAGAGAACTCTAGTAGGTAATCTATCTTTAACCAGTTAGATTCTACACTCTGAAATATATATTATACATTGTACTACAAACATCATATTAACATACAACCACTGAGAGAACTCTAGTAGGTAATCTATCTTTAACCAGTTAGATTCTACACTCTGAAATATATATTATACATTGTACTACAAACATCATATTAACATACAACCACTGAGAGAACTCTAGTAGGTAATCTATCTTTAACCAGTTAGATTCTACACACTGAAATATATATTATACATTGTACTACAAACATCATATTAACATACAACCACTGAGAGAACTCTAGAAGGTAATCTATCTTTAACCAGATAGATTCTACACTCTGAAATATATATTATACATTGTACTACAAACATCATATTAACATACAACCACTGAGAGAACTCTAGTAGGTAATCTATCTTTAACCAGTTAGATTCTACACACTGAAATATATATTATAAAGTAGGTAATAACAGCTAGCAATAATTGTTAGACAAACCTGGGTAGACAGTTATTGTTTATTACAATAAGTCCTCCTCAAGCTATGGGTCTACATGACATATTTAAGAGTAAAACTTACCGTTAGTGCTTCTATTGCATTCTGATAAGATGAGAGCTGTTCAGCTGTAACTTTAGAACTTAAAGCAACACGACGCCACATGTGAGCCACATAATCTTCACTCTCATCCTACAAAATAATACACAAATCTTACAAATAATACAATAACATGGAAACAAAATATATCAATATATGGGATGATTTTTAATTAGTCTGAAACCAACCTTTGACAGATATACTAGACTCTTATAGTTTTATTCA